TGCTCAATATTTTCATCAAATTAAATATTGTTTTACTCCTTTCAGGTATCTAAACAGAAAAAATACCACTTTCTGCAGTTGAGAGCAGCGACGACGTTGTAGTGAAAAAAGGAAAACCAACCTCAACCACAACAAATTTAACGAAAAGATTTAGAGCAACATCATGCTCGGAAAAGGCTTGTTAAAGACATGACAACAGAAGAACACAGATTAATTAAGATTAGGAACAAGAAGCGACGAGAAAAACAGATAGCTTTAAGAAACGTTTTGTTGAACACGCCTGCTTCTACACCCCCTCCTTCAAGTCCGATGTTACATCCTTTAAGTCCTCAATCTCGTGAATCGACTCCAGCGCAAGAAAAAGAAAGCAAGTCAGAAGAGGCTTTACATCGAAAAAGTTCAGCTAAAACACCAATTACTAGAATCATAGAGAAAGCTACAGAAATATAAAAAAGACTTACTCGACAGAATAAGGAAGACAAAAAATTAAATAGTTCAAAAAGCAATGACAAGGAAAACGAAACTAAACATAGAAATGAAAGCGGAACAGCTAAAAATATGATGTACTATCAAATGCAACATTACAAAAAAATTACCACACTGTCACTTTACCACTACTCTGTTACAAATGTGTCACCTTTGCAAGAGTCAAAAGGTATTTGTGTTCAACATTTCATACATATGTATTAAAATTAAGTATTTAATTATAGTTTATTATATTGAAGGTGTTATAGCCTATGTACATTAAATTTTCCCTTGTTAATAAAATAATATTTAAAAAAACTGGTAACTGATATGACGAAATGTTACCGAGTGGTGTTAAGTAACCTTTTCTGATTTAAATGACGTGATGAAGAATAACTTTTTTTTCTAGTTTTAAGGATGATAATAATAATACTTAAAAAAAAGATATCGCTTGGCTTAAAAAAAAATCAATTTCGTCACCTAGGGAACCCCAAGGTAACGAAATTGATTTTTTTTAAATTTTTGTTACCATACACAAAACCTTTCCAATTTTCAGAGTAAATCTAGTAAAACATTGATGCACAGTTAATTTATGGCATCTATAATCAATCATTGGACATTGGACAGTAATCTCAAAACATATTTTTAAACAAATTCTAATTTTTTATTTTTTGTCAAAACCTTTTAAGCTAGTATTAGATTGTCGATAGAAAAAAAGAATGACCCATATACCTATGTCACACAATTAACTTTCTGCACCACTTAATTCTTTAGGAAGATAGCCAAAAACACTGAAGCCTATCTGGAGCGCAAAGCCGACGAAATGTATATTGACTAGGGTTCGAAGTGATAATTAATAATAATAATAACACACACTCAACATAGCATATTAATGCTGGCGTTCCACAGGGCGGCGTTTTATCTCCTCTTCTCTTCTCGATCTTTATTAATTCAATTTCCCGCAGTCTTACCTCATCCTACCACCTGTATGCAGATGATTTACAAATTTACACTCACCGGCAGCTTGAAAACCTGCACGAAGCCATTGAGGTAATCAATAATGATCTCCGTCATATTTCGACGTGGAGTAAACAATTTGGTCTTAAGCTGAACGCAATGAAAACGCAAATGATTATTATTGGCAGCTCTAGAATGGTATCCAAGATAGATTGGTTTCGCTTGCCGCAGGTTATTATAGACGACACCTACATTAAAATTAGTGACAATGTTAAAAATCTAGGTATACTTATTGATAGGCAGCTATCTTGGGCACCTCAATTAGTTGAGACCAGCCGCAAATTGTTTGCGTCTGCCGCATCTCTCAGACGGTTACGTAATTTTTTACCTATTGCCACGAAAACTGCGCTTGCCCAAACTCTTCTTCTTCCAATTCTTGATTATGCTGATGCCTGCTATCTGGATTTAACCGAAGAACAGCTCAACAAACTCGAACGTCTACAAAACTTTTGCATCCGTTTCATTTATGGTCTGAGGAAATTTGACCATGTTTCCATTTATCGCAATGAGCCGAAGTGGTTACCCATTAGACTTCGCCGGAATGCTCATATTCTTAATCTTCTCTATGGCATCTTATTCATTCCTCACACACCACCTTATCTTAAGGAGCGATTTGAATTCGCCCATCAATACAACCCCCGACTTCTGCGCTCTTCTTCAACTCTCCAACTTAAGATGCCATTGCATACCTCCCAGTATTACGACAAGTCCTTTACTGTTCAGGCTATTCGTTTGTGGAACGCTTTACCTTTGTCTATTCAACAAGCGAAATCATTGAATATATTCAAAAATATGGTTAAAGTACACTACCTTAATTTAGTGTGACCTGGACTGCTTAGGTATTTTTATGTTTTGAAATTAAGTTTTAGAAATTTTTATATTTATAAGTATGAGAATATATAGTAGTTTACGATATTCATATATATGTATTGGTTTTATTATTTATTTATAAATATATGTATATTTGTATTTATTTATCAATTTTTATCTGTTGATTTACTAATTCTTCATACACCACCGTCTTTTTCCTATGAATTATATAATTACTTCCATCCAAAGGTTGTCTGGCAGAAATCGCTTAAAGCGATAAGACCGCCCATTGTACCACCGCTTATTTTTAATTTAATTGTATTGTATTTGTTTCCTTTTTTGGTGTACAATAAAGAATTTTTGTATTGTATTGTATTGTATAGCCACGCACTAGGGAAGCCCTGGGTCGCGGGTGCCATGGACACACACATAGACAACCACAAATTACACCCAAACTCACGAGAGAAATAAATGTAGGCCATACAAACATTTCTCCCGGCCCGGGAATCGAACCTGGGGCCTCTGCGTGGCAGTCCGGCATGGTAACCGTTCGTCCACAGAGGCAGTTAAATTATTTAAAATTAAATTATTACACAATTATCTTGTTTAACTTACCTTAATAATTATCTTTATATTTTAAAAATGTATTGAAATAACAAAATGCTACCGCTAGCAATGTTGTGTCTTGTGTTTGTATCCGAGACGTATCCAAAAGTGTTAAGCACGGAAGAAAGAAAATAAATGTATGTGGTCTGTGGTGTCAAATGTCATTCTCAAAAACGTCGCAAACCAAATCGTTTTCTCAAATATTTTCCTTCGTGTTTATTTAGTTGTCTCTGTATTTAACATTTTTAGTCAAGAATTAAAGAGACAACTATGAATCAGCACGGATAATTATCGGACTCATATCGGTTAATTATCAGTTCAATCGGTTAAGTGTGATAATTATGAAATAAAATAAATATCTTAATAATTTCGAACCCGTTACTGACCCTATTCTCACTTAATTATTTTTAACAATGAAAAATTGTCACATTATCTCTCTCTCTCTCTCTCTCTCTCTCTCTCTCTCTCTCTCTCTCTTATGAATTCACGGTAATATGTTATACAAAAACATATGATAGTATCACCAAGTAGGCTTGAAGTACATCTTTGGGCCCAAGTTGTATGGAAGAAAAAATAGATCCTTTAACAACACGTAACATAAATCCTTACGTAATTTGAATGTTATAGCTTCCATTGTTATGCAACAAATTACATATATCACGTGTTTTTCATATAATTTACGATAGGAAGGGTTGATAAGTAGTTTAACCTCAATTCAAAGGCACAGAGTTAAAAACTTACTGACTAATTAACGAGTGGCATACTCGCAGCGAATTTGATCCATGATTTTGATATTTTCAGTACTAATGAACCAAAAGGTGCAATAAACTAATACGTTAATAAACCTGTGATTTGACATCTCAACAAAATTTTGTTTTCTTCGACCATTAGCGAATTAAAAAACACCAACGTTTTTTATACTTGCAAACCTACAAAACCAAAAACCACAGAACAATAAATACAGTACAAGTGCTTATTGGGCGCGATTCGTGGGCCAACAGCACGCGGAGTTCCACGTACTTGAACTCAGTCTCCAATTTTCGCTTTGTAGGCTATGGTGGTGTTAATTATCTCGCGTAAAACCTGGAAAATCATGGAAAAATGCCAATAAAAAATTTGCTACTTTGGAGTGCAAAAATTATAGTCGTTCCTGTAATATTTATTATCCATAGTGCTGTTTCATAGTTTTCCATTTTTTGTTCATCGTAATGGATTTTTTTGTTATAACTATAAGAAATGAAACTAAATCTTAAACCGCTGCAACGTGGTCGACTTTTTTTGGAAAACATTACCCAGTCGTCATCTCAAAGTCTTTCAGCTATTGCCGCTAAATAGCGGCAGAATGAATGAAATTTCAATTACAAAATCAAAACGTCGTAACTTGCAATAATAGGTATTGAAATTTCAGCGATATGCCAACTGCGTAGAGTTTAATTTATTTTCTTTTTAAACTAGAAGCCACGACCATCATTAACAATATCAAAAACATAGTGTTATAATATTATGTAAGTGTGAGTTTTGGCGACAGCGTTTCTAATACTAGTCGATGAGGCCCTTCCATTGTTTTTTCTTTCGTGACTAAAACTAAACTCTTTGCTATATCTACTTAGTACCTACCATACACGGTGTAATATAAATTTTCGATCATATTTTAGTAGTCACGGAAATAAACAAATTTGGCAAATCCATAATGTTTAACTGGCTAAATAAAATTGTAGTCCTCCTAGGGAACCAATTTCATTTCGCTAATTTTAGATATATATTTTTGCTAAATGTTTTCAAATAATGTTTTCAATTTGATCGGACCTATTTGATAAACCCTGTATGCTAATACAAACATAGAAAACTTATTCAACAAAACATACTACACTCATTCAACGACAAGCGTCAATTAATTGAACATAATTGACTTACTTAAATCCAGAAAGGAGGTACGCAATTCAACAAACAATTTACTAATGGTCATGTACTGAGAAATTGATGAGTTTCAATAACCTGGAAGTAAAGACATCGATGAACATATTATCACACATAGTATACATTTTAATGGAATTACAAATTTAGTATTAATTAAATAGCCTTACAGAAATTTATGTTTCCAGCGGGACATCTACACATGGGCTTTGGATCACCGGGTACACCATAAATACACGGAGACGGTGGCAGACCCTCACGACGTACGGCGTGGATTCTGGTTCGCTCACGTAGGCTGGCTATGTCTAACTCCCCATCCCGCCGTTGAAGACAGGAGGGCTGCTCTGCGCAAAACTTCGGATGATCTCATCGCGGACCCTGTTGTCAGGATTCAAAAAATGTAAGATGTTCTAAACAACCTACGATTTATTTCAATAAGAAGACTTTGATCAGTGCATATGAAGGAAAAGTATAGTATAGATTAAAGTATAGTATAGATTTTAGAAGTTGAGGTGTGATGAACCGACCATGCATCCGCAATCCGCGCGCAGAAAATTAACATGATTAAATAAGGACATACTCAGAAAATTGGACAGATCTGACGTTGACAAGCGCCCGGTGGAGTCTGATGCGGGCGGCGCGGCGTATCGTCAAAACACTGTTTTCAAGTTTTAACACAAATGTGACTTTTTTGATAACTATAGGGTATTCAGTTGAAAATCAGATTTTAGCAGGTTCTCTGTGTACTACAGAGAAATATCTCCATATGAAAATTAAGAGAAAAGTTAGATATTTTATTCTTAAATAATTCGTTTTAAACTTTTATTTTAACTTGTACTTCGAGATTTTACATGATCGTGTAAAGTGTATGTTCTTCTTCTTTAGACAATATCCTTAGGTGGATCGTATATTTTTTACAAGACTGTTATTTAATAGTAAATACCTAAACATTTGATCGAGCAAAACAGTTGTTGTCGCTTCTCCTGCCGTGCATGGCTATAGCCATAAGAAGACGTTTGTGACTTTTTCTGGAAAGTGAGTAATCAGAACTTCGATTTTAACATAATAGTTGGGTAAAATATTTCACGACTTTCTTGCCAAGAATGGTTTGCAACATGTGTTCGAGAAGTGTGCCATTGCCTTTTCGCATTGAAACTAAAAATATCAGTTCATCATCTTTTCAAAAGCTTACCTAATAATTGAGTCATGAAGGTAAACCTTTGTGACTATTCACTTAATAGCAGTCTGTTTTCCTCGTTACTAATGTAACCATAATAAAATACTTCGTCACCTATGAGACCTCTTTTTTGTGTAGCAAAGTATTTGCTTTAGGATTTATATTTAGGATTAGGATCTCTACAATGCTTTTTTCCTTGACGTCCTTATGCAACGTGACACTCAGTTTTCCTTTGGTTTGGTCCCTTGTGAAAGGGAAACTATTTGATACAGTATCAGGTATTTCTCGCCCAAGTTTCCATTTGCAATCTCACCAAAATTCCTCTTTGCAATAATTACTACATTACGAAATTCTCACAGGAAAGTTATAAAATAGAGTAGTGTTAACTAATTAATACGTTCAGGGGTTATTTTACAGAAATCCAAATTAATTTATTTAAACCTTATTGCACACAAAACAGTACAAATAGCGGACTTAACACCATTAGGCTTTCTCTACAAGGCAACCAAATGAATAAAAATAGAAGTAAATTAATTTGCTACTCCGCTCCACAGGAAAGGTTAAATAGTGCAATGAGTATTTTTTATTTTTTAAGCAGTTAATAAAATATGCGCAACTAGACTGCACTCCTTGTCGTAAGTAACGTATTTGCATTTTAGTAACTTTTGAGATATTGATACCTAAAGTTTATTTTCTTTTGAAAAATGTCAATAAAAACCATGGTATCTCCAATCCCACAAGTTGTAGATCTCGTTTCCTTACTCCAGATAAATTAATAACTCAATTTCACTAAAAGTGGCGATTACTTAGTTATGCTAAGGAGAACAGTAAAGTCACAAACACCACCACGAAAAATATACCTGACACGTGTTTCGTCTCTCTACGAGGCATCTTCAGGAGTGGTTGATGGTTCGACATAAGTTGACGAGTCCCATATACCGGTAATTTCACCAGCACTCTTACCCTTCCAAACCGGAACGCAGCAATACTCACACTACTGCTTGGCGGCAGAAATAGATAAGGTGGCAGTACTTCCCTGGACGAACACTTTCACAAACAGCTCTTCTGCTACCTAAACTTCAATTTTATTAGTGTTAACTAAAATTTGCGAAAAATATAAAAAGATTCTTAAAACTTTCATAAATTTCTCATAGATGGCGCTACGGCACAAAGTCGTTAAAAACCAAAAACAAAGATCTGCCACAAGCACGTAGAAAAAATAAGATCTGCTAATTCGTTCCGTGGCTTAGTTCACACGGTCTAGTCCAATCTAGTCTGGCACGGATTGTTGGAAGACGTTGGTGCGAATCCAGCCGGATTGAAGGATATTTTTCTTTTTTGTGTTCGATCTTTTTTATTAATAATTATTACAAACTAGTGGAGTAATTTCACAAAAATAATTTAATATCGTGGTGGTCAAACATAGTGACATTCAAAGAACTTAAAAATTAATATTAAATATTGATTTTTTTTTTTGTTTCTATGGTCCTAATACATTTTTTTTACAGAACATTTATTCCGATGTTCGCATTGTTGAATATAATACTACCAGTTGGGATACCAATGTACCTGTGGGAAGAAAGCCTGCTCAACAGTTTCGTTGTGAGCTTCGTGATGAGATTTACGATCACCCTGAACATCGCCTATAGTGTAAACAGCGTCGCTCATATGTGGGGAAACAAGCCTTATGACAGGTACTTTACAATTTTTATTTAGTTAAGAACTTTTAAATTAATTTTAAATTACATTATTATTATGAAAACTTCTTTACACTATAGTCTTAAGCCCTGACCGCCCTTTTTATAATAGAATAGAATGAAAGTACACAAAAAGAAATAACAAAAAACAGAATTAATACAAAAAACCGAAAGAAAAAATACAACGAAGCAAACATAAACATAACACATATAAACATAAATTTTAGACAACAAATTCTATTTTTGAAATGTTTGTATTTTCTTGTTGCATGACTAATATTTTACCGATAACTGATACTGTATAAATAATAGCATGAAATTATCTTATATGACTAAATCGCCAAAAGTCCATTTCAAGAACAGCAAGATAGCTATCAAAATTTTAGCAGAATAACAAGTGACAAATAAAAAAAAATTAACATGAATTATGAATAATTCTGTAGCTTTTTTTACTTTTTTTTATAATACCAAGTAACGGGATAAACAAGTTGTACATCTAGTTGTAGTAAGGTAGTAAACGATACGCCTGTACATAGCAGTTTCAGTGCCACTCAGAGCTTTAAACCACAAAGATATGAGACGCACTGCCACGGCGGACGCCCGTCACTCTGAGACATAAGTTGACAAGTCCCATGTGCCTATAATTTCACCAGCACCTTTGACCTTCAAAACACATTACCGGTTGGCGGTTGACATAGGCAAGGTGGCAGCACTTCCCTGGACGAACTCTTTCACAAAGAGCTCAACCGCTAATATAATATAATATAATATAATATAATATAATATAATATAATATA